AAAAAAAAAAAAAAATCAAAACTGAATGGAGTTTATGCCATTGTGCGTCTCCCCAAAGTCAAAGATTAGCGTTGTTTCTTCCTCCCTTTTTTGGGCCTTCTTGTTTCTTTTTCCCTTGACCTCCATTTTCTTCACTCTTTGCCTCTACGGTGCATCCTTTTGCCTTTTCCCTTTCTTTACAGCCAATTGCTTTTATTTTGCCTTCGAATTTGGCTCTTTTTTTTCTTTTTTTTTTGGTGCCTTTAGTCTCTGATTTGGTTATATTTCCTCTAAATATCAACATTGTCTTCTTAGATCTGGTTTTTCTAATCATCATTTGCTTCTATTTTCATCAAGTCTCACCACATCTGCCATCTTCTTCATCAAAACCCAGCCTTGTACGTGGCGTCTCACCACTTCAATTTGTCGATTTTTGTGTTTTGAAGCAAGGGATGATGAAGGAAAAGAAAAACTACTTTCAGCTCCTCCTCTTAGATCTTGTAAGACGGTAAATCTTTTTCAACAATTGAAAATAAAATCTTTGATTCAATATTGGATAATGTAAAAGAAACCTTTGAAACTAATTATCGAATTAAAGAAAATGAATGGGATTCTATATAAATATTTGATTGAAGAAATGGAGAACAAAATTTGAAGTTTGCCCCCTGAGGAACTACAATTGAGTATCCAAGAAGAAGAAGATCGGTGGACTCAATTTATTTTTGTTTAATTTACTCGGGTCTCATTTTTGTTATTTGATAATAATGATTTTAGTTTGTTCATACTAATATAGTTTTAATAGGTTATATTAATTGTAAGGGCTAAAATAGTCTATACAAAAATTAATGCTGTGACATTAACAAGTTTGGGTGTGGCAATAGTGCCACCTATCCTTTCAGCCTCTAAACTTTTATTTCTTGAATTACTAAATCTCATTTATTGAATCAAACTTTATTTATTAAATCATTAAATTTATGGAATTACCATATTTATGAAACTAAGAAATTTTGTTCAAATATTTCACTTGCTTCATAAATTTTTAATTAAATTTATTCATGTAATATTCATTTTTCATTAACTTATTGACAGGCTTGCATCGTATAGAGGAGATAAAGAGTGAAAGAAATTGAAGAATAGAAGATTACTTCTTAAGCCATTCTCATTTGTCATATGTTCCCCCTTCTTCTTGTCATTCTATTATTTTACCTTTGTATAATCTTACTTTATCCCACTCAGGTACTTTTTATTTTATAAAAATTTGTAATTTGAACCAAAAACTAAAAATTTTAAAATTTTAAATATTAATATTAGATTGCACCAGAAGGATATTTTTGTTATACATACATATACATATATATATATATATTTATATCCAATCATGTAATTAACACTACAGATATATGGCTACACTATTATTTTGTTCAATTTTTTCCCATCCAATTCAATCCTTCTCACTTTAACTTGTCCAATCCTATCCAAAGCTAGATTCCACATGTACCCTAATTTTATTTTCAAAGAGCTGACAGGGCTATTTCTTGTAAGAGAACAGTGCCTGCGAGACCCAATTAAAGGTAAGGTTTTTTAATTTATATTTTAAAAGTATAAGTTAAAAATATTTTTTTATTATAAGTATATATATAATATAAAAATTAATGTTAATTTTAATTTTATTATTATGTGAATAAATTTAATTAAATAATTAATAAATTAAAAATTAGTTTTTATTTTTTTAATATAAATTTATAACAACAAATATATTTATTATGCTCTCAATACACAAATTAAAAAAACCGTTAAATCATCTCTTTCTTCTTCTTTTTTCCTTTTTCTATTTTATTTTATTTTATTTTTCTCACCTCTTTCCTTTCTCCTTTCTCCCTTTTTTGCAACTGGAGAGAACTCTAGATATGAACATCAACGTTAGAAACAAAAATTAGTTCGTAAATTGACAATTTCACAACCAAATTCTAAGACCATCATCAATATGAACCTGGTTTTATATATATATATATATATATATATCAAAGATTGATTTGATTAATATTGTAAAAATTGAGCATGTAATTAAATTTTGATACAAGACTAGAATCTAAGCTCAAATTGATTGAAAATAGGTAGAGTAGCCTTTCTTTTATGTGACAGATAAGCTCAAGTCTTGGGTTTCGATACTATATCTATATGGAAATTGGAAATATGAGTTTAATGCAAGATTTTCATTCAACTTAAAATTAATTGACAATATATAAAATAATCTTTCTTATATTTAATCACATACTTTTTTTTGTTTTTGTTATATATTCAAAGTGAAAATTTTCAACTCAACATGTATGAACAAAAAAAGCTTACAAAATGGTTTCAACTTTCAAGCTCAAAAGCTTTAATGAAACAAAATTACAAGAGGCGTGGGAAGGCCATCCTTGACCAAATTTACACCAAGGAAACAGGAGGTAAACTGATCCAATTTGCAGTGCAGAGATTCATCTTGCATTATTCACCTACAAGTGAGCGAAAAGTACATCCATTCTCTGCATTATTGTTCAGCTAAAAACCAGCCATCACCCATATTCTCTCCCCCTCAAAAATTTTTCGTGTAAGGGCAATGATATGTAAACAATTTTTTAAAATAATTTTTTATATAATTTTTAAATATTATTAAATAAATAAATACATATAATATTATAGATTGAATTAAGTGAAAAAAGTCAATTAAGTAAATCACACCTAAGGTCTATTGTTGTTCCTCGTAAAATAATTAGGATAAATAAAGTAGATAAAAGATTAGTAAAAACAATTAATTAAAAATGAAAAGTAAAAGGATGTCACCGAAAGTATGTCACCAAAAGTATGAGGAACTTGAGCTGAAGTTGGGATCAACAATCTCTTTAAGACGTTTCATGCTACTGATGCAACAATTTCTTATAGTCACATTGCCTCAGAAATACAACAGCTCAATTTTTCTCCATTGTATCTTTACAAGTATTGCACTTTTGTAAAGAAAGCTCTACTTCACCACCTTTTCCTTGCCCAAGAAAGTTTGAATAATATGTTTAAAAGTGCAGACCATGAAAAATTGTATCAGTCTGTTGGTAGAAAGGGAGGCTGCCTATTTATAGGCCTTGTAGTTAATCTGACCAAATAATTTGAATTTATTTTGAATAGCTGAATAGTAGGAGAACTGTTAGCAAGTTACTTTAAAATGTTGAAATGGCTAAATATATATAATATAGTTGGTTCAAAAAGTCGGATTTGTAACTGATGAGTTACTTCACAAATTTAATTTTTGAAAGCAATGGATTTGTAACCAATTGGTGTTGCAAACTTTTTTGAAAGAATAAATAATGGATTTGCAACTGAACAGCGTTGCAAACGGTTTGCAATTTTTTTTTAATTAAAATCTATAACATTCCCCCTCCATTTGAATTAAAAATAAAAGGAACTTAGAAGATGAAAAATTTATAGGCAATGATGAATTATTATGCATAATAGAGGTAGCAATGCCTTGAACCTCTACTTAGTGATTCAATGATTCCTATCCCAAAGTCACTAGTGAGCAAAGTCTTGAATTAGAACTACTCAAAGGATACAGGAGACCATATCACACACATAATAATCCAAGTGTTAATTTGAGCTTTGTAAGTTGGCACATTATGGCTTTTGTGCCTAATCCTGGTATTCATGGATGATCTAGAGAATAGCCTTATTCTTATAGGAGTAGCCCCACTCTGACATCCATATAGGTGAAATTTGTCAAGAGTGCTCTCATAACTAAGACACCTCACTTAATGAGCTACAAATTTCATTAAAAGTGTATAACACTTAACCCTCACATTCATTATGGGATAGATGCATCTACACCTTAGGAATGGGGTAAGAAATTTTTTTTTCATATATATATATATAAATTTTTTTATACATCTCTTAACAATGACCTCTCTATGATTCATTTTTCTCATTTGAAACACAAATTCTCAAGAATTTTGACCATTGGGTTGGGTATCCTCATAGGAAGTTCCACATTCTTTGGGCTTCAATCCTATTCCCCTTGATGTAATCCAAAATTTCTCTCTAGCTAGTGCTTTTGTAAATGAATCAGCAATAT